TGTAAAATTTAGCCAATTTTGCAAATAGGCCCCTCCAAAAATTTCGGTCTAGCTTCCACATATATTTCTCAAAGTCTTGGCCATAGATTTGGGATCCTAACTTTGGAAATTTTAGCCCTAAAATTTTAGCCCTTTTTGCAAATAAACCCCTCTACAATATATGGTTCCCTTTTGCAATTAAATCCCTCAACAATGTTGATTCTTTTGCGTGAAAACGCCCCTCAAAGTTTGGCCAAATAGGCATGAAATTTCAGTCCCAAATTTCTGTCTACCTTTGCACAAAAATCTCAAATTTCAGTCCACTTTTACATAAAAGTCCCTAAAATTTTGGCCATAGTATTGATTTTGCATAAAACCCCCCAAATCTTTGTACATACACAACCCATCATCAAGATCCTATCTTTTTCATAAAATCTAACTCATGAGAACAAAAAGCTATGATCTTGGTATGTAGATTCATGGCATACTCTCATTACAAGCATAAAGTTTTAATCTTTATAAAAAAAATGAGAGTTTTTGAGGGGAAACTTACCCAAATCAAGAAGCTTCATTTGAGCTTGAGGATGAAGAAAAACCCTAGCTTTGAGAAGAGAAGATTTCCGGCCAAGAGGAGAGCACTAAAAATCCGAATTTTGTCTTAAGTTGATGGGATTTAAAGAGGAGATGTTAATGGGTTTGGAGTTCTTAAAGGAGAGAAACAATGGTGTTTGGATAAGAGGAGGAAGGAGATAGGGTTTAGGGGGGAAAAGGACTCTCTTTTGAAAATTTGAAAGAAGGGAAAAGTGCATCATACATAAGAAAACAAAAGAGAGGGAGGAAACACAAGGGTGTCTCGGTTTTTGAACCGAGACACCCTAGGGGGTCTCGGCCAAGGTTGAGACACCCACGGGTGTCTCAACCCAGTTCGAGCCCCCGATTGTGTTTTTCAAGCCTGAATTTCACCCGTCTTCGTCGGTTGTTGGATATTTTGACCAAATCAACACTAATCGATGCTGGACAATTCAAAACCCTAAGGTCAACCCCGGTCAACGCGTAACCCTAGGTCAACCCCAGTCAACGCATTGCGATAAAAAAAGGCAACGTGCGATGTTCGAAACCCTAGGGTCAACGCCGGTCAACGCGTTGTGATCAAAAAGTCAACGTGTGACGTTCAAAACCCTAGGGTCAACGCTGATCAACGTGTAACCCTAGGTCAACGCCAGTCAACGCGTTGCGATAAAAAAAGTCAACGTGAGACGTTCGAAACCCTAGGGTCAACGCCGGTCAATGCGTAACCCTAAATCAACGTCGGTCAACGCGTAACCCTAGATCAACGTCGGTCAACGCGTTACGATCAAAAAGTTAACGTTCGACGTTCAAAACCCTAAGGTCAACGTCGGTCAACACGTAACTCTAGGTCAACGCCAGTCAACGCGTTGCGATCAAAAAAGTCAACGTGCGACGTTCGAAACCCTAGCGTCAACGCCGGTCAACGCGTAACCGTAGGTCAACGCCAGTCAACGCGTTGCGATCAAAAAAAGTCAACGTGAGACGTTCGAAACCCTAGGGTCAATGCCGGTCAACGCATAACACTAGATCAACGTCAGTCAACACGTTGTGATCAAAAAGTTAACGCGTGATGTTCAAAACCCTACGGTCAACGCCGGTCAACGCGTAACCCTAAGTCAACGTCAGTCAACACGTTGCGATCAAAAAGTCAACGTACGATATTCAAAACCCTAAGGTCAACGCCGGTCAACGCGTAACCCTAGGTCAACTCCAGTCAACGCGTTGCGATCAAAAAGTCAACGTTCGATGTTCAAAACCTTAGGGTCAATGCCGGTCAACGTATAACCCTAGGTCAACGCCAGTCAACGCGTTGCGATTAAAAAGTCAACGTGAGTCAATATATCATGACGGAGGTAGTCAGTTCAAAGTCAATTCGACGACACGAGCCAAACTCAACTCATCATTTTTAGATTTGAGACTTCGACGACGGCCAGGAGAGAAACACGACGCCAAAAGAACTTCAGCTATTCGTCAAAGTATCAAATAGATTGAAAATCGAAGGAGTCAAGAATTGAAGCTAATTACAGGTCCTTTACACCAATCGAAGGCTGGACCAATCACATCCAAAGTATTCCAGCCTCTTCTATAAAAGAAACGAGCCTGGAACGCCTGGACCAATCACATCCAAAGTATTCCAGCCTCTTCTATAAAAGAAACGAGCCTGGAACGCTTTGGAGGTGTCACGCCCCGCTTCCCAAAATACAGGGGAATCGGAACGTGAACAAGCCCGCGACGTATTAGATTGAGAAGAAATATACACTATCATTTTTTTTCTTCTTTTTCTTCTCAATCCAATACGCTAAGCGTCTGGAAATAAATACAACGTGAAGTCACAGGTCCCCGATCACAATAGCAAGAATATAAAGACAACTCAGAATAAGGAATAGACATATCATCAACAGTAAATCATCCCAGACATAAAAATATGGGTCAAACACGCCCTTATTACAAAATAATCCAACTAGGAAATAAGAAATACATAGTCCATAAAGAAAATACTGTTAAAATACTAAATCCTTCATCAGCTAGAGAAAAGTACGGTAAAAAGGTTTTAATGTTCATCAGCTACTATAGAGGAAAACTACTGGCTTCAGATTGTTCTTCTACTCCACCTATGAGGCACTCCTACTGAGAATCTTCTGGCTCTTGCACTATCCCGAACTGAGGCTGCTCATCTCCTAAATCTGACGTACACCCAGAAAATAGGAGTACGTCAGCGTGTGAAACACACGGCAAGATCCCCCAAGGCAGAAACAAATACAATAACAGTATTGATAATATATGCGTGGTCAATACTATAACAGAAATAGAAATAGAACATGTGATGATAATAATAACGTTAGAGGCATGCAACTGGAATACTAATAATCAGAAGAAACCAAATATCAACCAAGTAACAAGATCATACCATAGATGGAATTAATATTTAAAAATCTACAACAAGAGACGTAGTACGTCGAGCGAAATAATCCAAACAAGGAAACCCTCATGTATATACCATATGTCTCGAATTGTAAATAATTAAATATTAATCCCGATCTATATATGAAAAGAAACACGACTTGCCTATATCTCACAAGGATCAAAACTCATCCAAGTAAGAATTCATGTAACTAGCCATTCTATAACAAGTCACTGGTCCAACCGTCTAACCCCAATGCGTATCGGTTCACTGGCCCAACAAACTAACCCAGTGCGTATCGGTTCACTGGTCTAACAAACTAACCCAGTGCGTATCGGTTCACTAGTCTAACAAACTAACCCAGTGCGTATCGGTTCACTGGTCTAACAAACTAACCCAGTGCGTATCGGTTCACTGGCCCAACCCTAAAGGATACATAAACAGTCACATCTAATCACATGTACCAAGACTTCCCATCCTGGCTCTTCTTATTTTCTAAGCCAGCAACACACAAGCCTCTAAATCTTATTTAACAAACTAACCCAGTGCGTATCGGTTCACTGGTCTAACAAACTAACCCAGTGCGTATCGGTTCACTGGTCTAACAAACTAACCCAGTGCGTATCGGTTCACTGGCCCAACCCTAAAGGATACATAAACAGTCACATCTAATCACATGTACCAAGACTTCCCATCCTGGCTCTTCTTATTTTCTAAGCCAGCAACACACAAGCCTCTAAATCTTATTCATGTCACACAGATCACTATAGTCATAAACTCCTAACGATTCTCAATTATAATAAAGAATGATAAATGCAATAAATACTAATTAACAGTGTCGTGGATCATGAACAAAAATCGTGAACAACTACTAATAACAGTACACGATGAAACTACATCTATCAAATAAATATACACGAAATATCGAAATTTCCAATCATCATGCTCATAAATTTATTAATTCCAAAATAAATCCTTTTAATTTATTTCTCATAAATTATTCAAAAATAACCTTTTAAATATATTATTATTATTATATATTATTCCATATGAACAATAACTGTTTTTTTTTCTCTTTTTAATTATTCTAATTTTCTTTTTCGATAACAACTCTTAAAATTTATCTAGCTTTCAAAATGCAATCTTGTCATTTTATATTCATCATTTCACAAGTAATCTACCACAATAATACTTAACAACATTCATCATCATCCCACGCATAATATCATAATCGGACAAATTTTCAAAACCAACCCATTTGAGATTTTATTCTCAAAAAACGACCCGTTTGACATTTATTTAGAGAAACCGACCTGGTTTCAGCACTGTAGCTGAAACCAGGTCGGTTTTTCTAAAAAAGTTTACGAAACTTCACGGGAGTTCAACTCCCGTGAAGTTTTTTCTCATAACAAAACTTCACGGGAGTTGAACTCCCGTGAAGTTTCGTAAACTTTTTTAGAAAAAACCGACCTGGCTTTCAGTACAGTGTGAACCAGGTCGGTTTCTCTAAAATAAATGTCAACGGGTCGTTTTTTGCAATTAGTTTCTCAAATAGGTTTGGTTTTGAAAATTTGTCCTATCATAATCTAACAAACACATATTATAATAAATAATATATATAGAAATTGTAATGGTAATGAGGTGATGCGGGATCTTGCCTATGCGTCGAACACAACAGACGTTGCGGCGCGGGCTGGTACTTCGAGCGGGTGAGCTCGAATCGGAGGGCGGACGCGTCAGCCAGTCAGGTGCGTTATCGTCGGCGGCGCTGGTGTTCGGCTCGTACGGAGCAGCGCTCGACCGGCAAGGGGCTGATGATCCTGGGCGGTCAGGGTTGTGGTAGCGGGTGGCAATTTATGACCCGACCCATCAACCCGACCCGACCCGACCCGTTTATATTGGGTATGGGTCAAGTTATATGGGTCGGGTCATAAACGGGTCAACCCGAACTAACCCGTTTATTATATGGGTAAAGTAGCTTGACCCGCGTGACCCATATATCGCAAGCACTGACCCGTATAACACCGAAAAAAGAAAAAAAGAACCCGTATAACCCGAAAGCCCTTCGTCCCTTCGTGGTTTCGTCCGAAAAAAAACTCATCGCGCCTCCGATCTCTACCCTCGAGCTCATCTCTGATCTCTCTCCTCAAGCTCATCTCCGATCTCTACCCTCGAACTCATCTCCGATCTCTCTCCTCAAGCTCGAGCCCCACTTTTGATCTCCTCTCGCCTGAAGCTCGAGATTCATCTTGGATCTCCTCTCTCCTCAGGGCCTGTGCTCCTCTCCCCTCGAGCGCAAGCGCCACATTCGACTTCCTCTCAAGTACTCAAGGATCAGATCAGAACCCCTAGATAGGTAATTTTCAGCCCCGATTTCTAAATTCTAGGTTAAATTAGGAGAATAAGATCTTAGCTTGATTTTGTGATTGCAATTTTGTTGATTTTTTGAGGAATTTAGTGCCAGTTTTTGGAAAAAAAATAAAATGCATGTTCACCATGTTCCATCCTGAGCTTGCTTTGATGGGATCTTGTGTTCTTGCCGTTCAAACGAAAGGGGAAGATGTTTACATAATGAATGTCAGAGACAGTCAAGCTGTTTTAGGGAAGAAATCAGAGATAAAGGATTTGCAGAGGATTAGTGAAGATGGTGAGGGTTTCAGAGCTTCGTCCACTTTGGATGCGATTCAGTTGACGTTGGATCACAGTACAGGTGTTGAGGAGGTAAATTCTGAAGAAAAGATTTCGATCTGGCTATTTTGATGAAGTTTTATTGATTTTGGATGATTTTTTTTTCATGGCTTAGGAAGTTCGGAGGATTAAAAGAGAGCATCCTGAGGATGCTTGTGCGGTGATGAATGATCGAGTGAAGGGTTCTTTGAAGGTGACCAGAGCTTTTGGTGCTGGATTCTTGAAACAGGTATTCATCCTCATATTTTGTATGATTCCACGAACATTAATAAGTTCCTATTGATTTGGTCTTAAAAGATACGAGTATGCAATGCACATCATTATCACCATATTTAGCATTTTAGTTACTCAAAGAATTTCCTTTGCGCATCAAGTTGATAGCTTGTGCATTTACTTTGTGCTAAGAGTAGAATATTGAGGATTCTTCTAACAATGATAATTTTATTTTATTTTAATTTGAAAGAGGAGTTCGACTTTGGTTGGTCACATGATACGGTTGAAGGAGAGTAACTTAGTTTTTTAAGTTTTCTGAGTAAAGTTTTATGTTCAATTTGCAATTAGTCACAGGACATGTAAGGTTCCCTTTAGCCATTTGTATTAGCTTTGACAGCACGAGAAGCAGGGCAGAGGAGATCTATAGCGCATTGCATCATGAATGTCACATAATTAGATATTAGAATCCTTTTTTTTAGGGAAGAAAAGACGGTGGGATATTAGCTTATTGTTCCTTTGCTCTTTAAATTCCTTTATCTACTAAGAACATGAGGAGACTAATTCAAACTCTTATATGCTACCTTTACTTGATATATAATGTTACTTTATAATTGAACAAATTAATTATACTTACATTAACTATATACATTGTTGGAGAAAATTTACAAAATGAATTAAAATCAAAGCTCCGACCTATACTGCATGCCATCGGGCTACGACTGCATCAACAACAATACTGCTGGGATTAAGTTGTGTTCATCATGATCTCGTCTTCACATTTGAGATACAGCTTCCCATTTTGGTCCCCCATCTCTCGCTCTCTTTCTCCTTTCTCTTTTTTTCTTTATTCAGCTACCGATGTATGTGAGTGAAGGGGGGGTAGATGAATTCATAGGAGCAGGGGGGATCCCGTGAGGTGAGCTGGAGTTGTTTTTGTTTTTCTGTTGCTTTTGTTTACTCTATTCGCATCTCTGCTCTCGTGTGATGCCTGCAGTACTTGCGTCGTCTTTTGCTTTTGTATCAGGCAGCGTGATGGCTGTGTGCTGCTGTGACGGGCCAGCTGTCTGGTCTCCATACATTACATGCCATCCATTTCTCTATCACCATGAACTTGGATCTAGAGATAGATTTTTGATACTTTCATCTGATGGGCTTTACCAATACTTCACTAATGAAGAGGTAGTTGCTGAAGTGGAGTCGTTCATTGCCACAATGCCTGAAGGTGATCCTGCGCAGCACCTCGTTGAGGAATTTATCTTTCGTGCAGCGAGAAAAGCTGGTAACTACATCTTCTCTCTATGTATGCTCGTTCATTGCCACCTTTGTATCATAAGCTTTTGAGGGAACTTTTGCTTCCATGTTTGTTGAGGTGATGGAGGTTGTAAAGGTAGAAAATTAAGCAGTTATAGTAGAAAGGGGGAAAATGTAATTTTCTAATAAATTTGTTTTCTATTCAAGTTAAATATCTCAAAGTGATGAGACCCATTAGTCTCCATGTTTGTTGAGGTGATGGAGGTTGTAAAGGTAGAAAATTAAGCAGTTATACTATGAAGTCTCCTTGGCTTAATATAAACTTCGATTACTTGAATAATCGATTACTTGAATAATCAAATCTATAAAGTTGGTATGGTTTGATATATTTGTAAGTAAAGCTCTTTCTTTGATTGTTTTAATATGTTTCCTTGGACAGGAGTGATCGCATTTGTTTTTCAAGGTCAAATCGGCATTTTGGTATCTGTTCGATTACTTGTGATTGCGGCTGTTCTTTTTTGGTTGTTAACATGTTGAATGTGATGCTGTTATTATTGGCTCAGGCTATGGTGGCGGAGTTGCAGCTTCTATCCTTTCGAGCTCAGGCTACAAGAAAACCCATTTGCAACTTTTAAAGGCCTTTAATGTATAATTAATGCATAAAGAGAGGGCTTTCTTCGAATGATTTTTGTTATATGATGTGTAAATGTATACATGGCTATGTTCATGTAGCCTACAGGATGTATGTGTGCTCTATCTTAGATATAGATGTTGTGTTTGATGAATTTTGGAACTTGGGTTGTTTTTATTTTGGAGAATTTTCAAGAGTTAAAAACAAATCTGTCTTTATAGTTTTACATGATGAGATTATATTCTTGGTGGAAGCTGCTGATTCATCAGATGATGGCTTAGAGAGTCCAGAAACAAAATTTCCAATAGCTTCTTGTAGGATTTTCACTGCATTTTCCATATCCACCATATTTGGACATTGTGATATATTTGTTAAATACTTAGTGCATCTGTACCGTAATATTCTGTTCAATCTTCTTATAAATTTTATTGCAAAAATTGGTAATTGATGAGATGTAGAATATACTACAATTGATGAGTTCATGCATGTTCCATTATCAAATAAACGTTACTGATCATTCATGCAATCTGTATATTACACCTAAGGTACGAGGCAAAAACTAAAAGTTATTAAATAGATCATTTGGGTTATATGGGTCGGGTCGGGTAACCCGTTTAATAAACGGGTCGGATCATATTGACCCATTTATTAAACGGGTCGGGTCGGGTCAAACTTATACGGGTCGGGTCAAATTTTATATGGGTCGGGTCGGGTCGGGTTGACCCGTTTGCCACCCCTAGTTGTGGCTGTTGGTCGGAGTTATGAGTAAGAAACCAAGGGAGGAGCAGATGGGAAGAGAGAGGAGAGAAAGACGCTGGAAGAGGGCGGATCTGGCGCGCGTCGATGGGGCAGGGGGGTTGGGTTTGGGCTGCGACGGCCTCGGAGGTCCTAGGGTGTCGTGCGGAGCTTCGAGGCAGGCGGAGAATGGAGAGCGGTGGCGGAACAAACAGATGAATGGCAGGGGCGGCAGACGAAGCGGCTTGGCACGACGATGGGTCCGCGAGGCTGGTCGACCGAGGCAGGGGCGCGACGAGCGCGCTGGGAAGCAGGTGGCCGGCGGGGGTCAGGGCGAGAGGCGACGGCGGTTGCAGTGGGCAGGCGGCGGTTGCGGGCGTGGGGCGATGCGGGCTCGACGGCGTGGGGTCAGTGCGAGGCGGCTCAGGCGGCGGCTGTTTGGGCGGTCGGACGGTGATGGGAGGAAGAAGAAGAAAAGAAAGATGGTTTTTTTTTCTTTTGCTGTTGAAGATGGGGGGTGTACGGTGAAAAGAAAAGTAAGAATTATTTTATGGAAGGGGAGAGAAAAAGGAATGTGAGAGAAATATGGGAATAAAAAAGGAAGGTGTATTATGGGGAATGATTTGAATTGATTGGGGAAAAATTGGAAGGAATTCAAATTCAAATGAGAAAAATAAGAGAGAAAAAATTCAAAATTTTTATATAATATTCTGAATAAATATTATATTAATAAATAATATTAATATTAATAACCAAATATATTTATATTTATATGCTAATCTATGCTCAGAATCACATTAATAATAATAATAAAGATGATATAAGTGACCAAATGATTATGAAAAAATTCACTAAATCATAAATTAATATTTAGCAAAAATAATAAATACAAGACTATATATTTTATTTATTTATTTTGAAACTCAAAAAATTTCTAGAAATTAGGAAAATGTTAACAAAATAAAATTTAATATTTTAAATACTAGAAAATTTATTTAAGCATGTATCAAAAATTACGGTTGTTACAGGAGGGGGTATCTGTAGGCATCGAAAATTGCCTATAGGTCTCCACGAACAGCTCAGTGATAAGAAACGACGATGAACGTCACTATCCGATTCACAGAAGTTTGATTGATATTGGTGAACGCTTGAAGTAAATTGACGAACTACGTGAACTAACGGAATTTCAGAATAACAAAGACACGAACTGATCGGGAACCTCGTATCGTTCACAAAACAGCGAAATACCCTTCGTGTCTCATTTGTTCAACTGATGATATAATCATTGGAACTTATAGAACTCCTCTTCGCCTTTCCAACGCACTTTGAATCGCTCAAATCTGAGTTCGGATGAAGAAGTTACGGCAGAAACGGACGAATATGCAAAAATAGCGTCTCAGCCTGAATTGAGACACCCCGAGGTGTCTCAGCCAAAACGAGACACCTCAAGGTGTCTTGGGTGTCTCAGCCTCGCTGAGATACCCTGGGGTGTTTCCAGGCCTAAAAATAGGTTGTTATGTTGTTTTAACCACCCAGATCCTATAAATACAGGCCTCAGGCCCTCATTTTTCAGATCTGGATTTTTAGAGAATTGGCGAAGCCCTGCCGGATTGAAGATTGATCGAGTTCTTCAACATAGGAGAGAAAATTTCTTCAGATCTGCACCGCCCGCATCCGATCCTTAGGGTTATCCCGTTGTGATAATTCTAAGAAGAGCAATTATCTCGCCGTTGTCGAGATAAGCGCTTCTGCTTCTAGATTCCTTCGCGAATCGACGGAGTTCTGGATCTGATCTGATTGTCAGGTAGTCCACGGATATCGATATCCCCGTCACCGGCTAAAGACTCACACAAGCAAGAAAACGACGAATAGATCTTGCGTTATTTTTGAAAAGTTGTAATCTTTTATTTTTTTTGTATTCTTTTTATTGAATATTCTAAATTCTTTGTAAGCAATCCAGATTATAATGAGTTCTACAATGAAGGCAACTTTCTCCGAAAATACTTGTGAAGATACAACCGGATGATAAAAGAGAGTTTAGAAAAAGTTTTACATCCTGGAAACAACTGTTGCTTACCTTCATCAACTAACTTATAAAATTTCTTTGCCTCCTTAGTTAACCTTTCTTCATGGTCACTTAGGTCATCTTCTTGGTTCACTGGAGACTCTTCTGCTACATCTCTAAATACATCATGTAATAACCCATCCAGGTTGTCTTGAGCATCATCAGCAACATCATCAACTTCTTCATTATTATCATCAACATCCATCCTTGATGACACACCCTCTCCGTGAAAGAACCAATCATAATAATTCTCTACAAATCCTTAGACAATAAGGTGATCATAAACAACATCACGACTATACCAAAAGCGATTACAGCAAATGCGACAAGGGCAACATATTTCATCCCCTACTGCTCCATTAGCAAATGCTCTCTCAAGAAAGTCATTGACATTATTAATGAACTCCACACTCACTCTAGGAGCATTATACATCCAATCTCTATTTTCCGCCATTTATTATATATTCTGGAAAAAGAAAAAAATGATTAACACTATTAATAACTACATATAAATATTATGATTTATAAAATAAAAAATCAATCCTCTTGTTACCATTAATAGTAATATATTCAATCAACATTCGTGCGGTTGTCATGCCATGATTTGTATTTGTAAGCGGATCATATGCTAGTTTAATATTAAAAAAGATTATAAATGAAAGTAGGTTACCCCATAATTAACTTGGACTGTAACTGGACTAAAAAGATATACAAATCCTATCTATCTCGGGGGAAAAGGTCACATGCAATATGCACAAGGAACAAAAGATGAATGTTATGCACTTGAAATTGGCAAGTCATTATAAGGAAATAATAGTATAAAAAATGCTATGTAACTGAATAAAAGATGGACTGTAACTAAACAAAAAAATGCTATGTAACTGAACAAAAGATGGGCATCACATATATAGGAAGGTTACTAAGAAAATCATACATCCCATATAACTGAACAAATTGATGAAACTTCTTAATCCTGAACAAATTTCTTAATCCTGGAAACGATCGCAAGTTACAGACATGAGGGTTACTAAGAAAATCATACATCCCATATATAGGATAAGTTTTGTATCGGACTATGCACTAGCATAACCGTAAACTTCTATCAAATTTCATAAAAACTCAAAGTAATCACGTGCAAAATACCTGACTAACTCCCTTCAAATGCAAGACTAGGACATTTAAGAGAATGCAGCCATCAGCTGCAAAATTGGCGAAATTTACGGGCTTGATTGCTGAAAACACACTCTAGAAAAGCTCCCGTTAGCGAGATCTGAGCTCGATTTCTAGAGAAAACCCTAGAAAACAGGGAAGGAGAAATTACCTGAAATGAGGGTAGCTCGATGATGAGAATGACAACAAGCTCGACAACAATGAGATCGGAGAGGATCGATATTGGAGATGAGATCGTAGAGGAAAATGGCGACGAGTTCAGTGATGAGATTGGAGATGAGATCGGAGAGGAAACGACCACGACGATTTTAGGGCTCTTTTTTGAAGGCGGTTTTTGGGATCGGAGATGATATTCTTTGTTTAAGCGGTGGGGACAATGGGCTTTACAAACTTAAAGCTCCTGATCAAAGCCCACGAACAATTATTAAGTCCAGGAATAATTATTAGGTCTATGGCAACGTTTTTCATTAAATGTTGTATTAGACACTGAAAACTGTTACGATAGATCTCTAACGCAACAGTTAAAACCGTTGCGTCTTAACTGTTGTAGTAGATCAATTATGTGGTAGTGTCTATCTTGAAGCAAGTGATGGAAGAGAAGGTATAGCTGCAATTATTGTTATTTTTTTAATTGAAGTTTCACCCTTAGAGTGTAGATTATTTGTCAACATTTTAAGAGAATATAATATTGTTATTTTTGATCAGGTGACCCCAAACAATATCGATATTGCAAAGGTTTCTCCAAATTATCATCTCTATTCTCCTGATGAGGTCGAGGCTGTCATAAGTCGCCTATAAGCATGTTAACCATATGGTTCTCATTTCCATCTCTTGTTTTCTCTCAAAACTTTTCTGCTTTCTGTTTTCTTTCTACCAATGACCTTTCTTTCCTATTTTCTGCGGGTGGTGGAATTTAGAGAGCTGAGTAGTCTATTGTATGAGTGCCAACTTTTGAGGAATCCTCTTTTCATGAATTTGCTGGCAATTTATTCTATTTTATGTCAATGGGGAGGGGGTGGGGGGAGGGGGGGGGGGGGGGAGGGGGGAGGGGGGGAGGGGGGGGGAACCAATCCAACATGTTTCCTTATCTACTGGTGAAGTTGTCATGTTTGATTTTCTTCTTCTTTTTTCTCTTATTTTTTATTTTTGTTCTTTCCATGCACTACTACAAAAGCCCCTTATAGTAATGGTTCCAACTGTTGTTTATAGGCCTTTTAGTAACGGTGCGGACCGTTTTTAATACGTTAACAGCGGTTAAAACCGTTACAAATAATCCATTACTATTAAGGCCGTTGCAATTAGCTTATTGCAATGATCTAAACTCGTTGCAAATATAACAACCGTTGCTATTAGATTAATTTTTATAAAATAAAAAAAAAATCCACATCAGCAAATTCTAACCGTTGCTATAGTCTATTAACAATAAAAGGCAATCGTTACTATAATATTTAATATTTATTTAAAAAAATCCACATCAGCAACATCCTAACCACCACTAGGGTATATTAACAACAGAAAACCGTTGCTATAGGGTATTAAAAATATATTTTCACCAAAATATTACTGTTTATTCTCTCATTCAACTGTAGCAATGATATTCATCTATTTCTAATCATTTATTACAATACATGATATCATTCAAATGAAACAAATAATTACCATCATAAATAAGAAATTAACTTAATCAATTAAAAAATAACGTGTGTTTGATACAAACTTTGTCAATGAATTGATAAACAACTATAAAACTTTGAGTTTAGATCATTTACGAGGTTCACAACTTCTCCACATCCTACAACTCTTAACTAAAATGCAAATCTAACAAATGAAAACCTATTCAATGACTTATGACAGTGAAGCAATAAACCATGAATAATTAAAATTTGAATGATAAATATCATGGTGAGCCCATTAATTATCAAGACGAGTTCTTCTTTCATCGAGTCTCTCCCAATGCTTTGTCTCTTCCCAACTGATTCTATCCAAAATATTCTCCCCTTCACCATCCATCACCTCGCAACCTTCATCCTGCAACTCGGAAGGAGTAATATTGAATCAGCATGCAAATAAGAATACCTCCAGAATGGCATCCTCCTTCGTTCTTTTCCAACCACTTTAAGTAAACCATCTGAATCGGAATAGTATTGAGATCTATCAGTCATACATATGAGTATAGAAAGAGAGCAACATGACCTACTAGTAAAGAATCATCATGATCCAATAGTTTATCCCCTTTGTAGGCAAAATTGTAGTAAAAATGTACTCAAGGAGCTCCGGAATCCAACGAATTCAACATATGTCTCAGCTAAAAAGATGTTTAAGCAACTGGTGAATGATAGGAACATTCGTGTATGAGGTCCGGAATCCAACAAATTCAACATATAAGAACAAATGTCTAGCATAATTTTTTGCGTGCATGCATCATGCATGTAACTTTTACCCTTCCAGAGACCATTTAATCCTATCATTTTATATAAAAATGTCTAGCATAGTTGTATATAAAAAAATTAGAATATCTGTACTCAATCATTGTGCTTGTCCATTTAATCCAATCATTGCTTGAAATCCAGAGGCCATTTTTTGAAAATCTTGCATTTGGCGATCTCTTTCTTCCCTTTCCCGTTCCTTTTCTCTTTCTGCTTCATCGGCTCTTTTCTGTAACTCTTCGATTTTCTGATTCGCAGAATGTAATTGTTCTTGAAGCTCGGAATTGTTGTTTACATTACCCTCGATGTTATAGGATGCAGAAAAATGGTGGGCTATTGTCCTTCCTTTGTATCCAGCACCATATCCTCTCTCATAACCCCCGTGATGCTTTCCTGCTACCTCATCGAGAATAGCTGAAAGCTTCAATCGATGAGCTTTTGTTGCTGGATCAGCATTTTGAAGTTGAATTTTGAGCTCCTCAACCCTTTCAATAACCTTCTCCTGCATACAAATTAAGATTCATAACCTCACAAAAATATTATCAAAAATTTAGATTCATAACATAAGAGAAATATTGTTAAGAAAGAAGAATCACAGATAAAACTTACACAAACATCTTTGGTATCCTCATGTGGATAGTCTCCAAGACCCCTCTTTCTTTTATGAGATTTGACAAATAAATCGAACTCATCACAATTTTCGGGATCCAACTCCTTCTATATATCGAGTGAAAAAGAAACAAGAACCGAAACAATTAAACTCCTTCTATATATCGAAGCAGGCCCAGGGCCCCCCCCAGATCTGATTACAGTCTCTTTCAATGGTATCTCTATCAATATCTCCAGAGAATCATGGGCCGCACTCAACGCAGCCTTCCCCAACCTAGAAGAAGATTCAATTCTCCCCCCCATAGCAGATCGAGCCATCCAGGTCAGCTCTTCAGAATCGACGGAGCATGTTTCTACCACTGATCCCCCTCCAGGCTTTGAGAACGCTAAAAGTAAAGCCAAAAGGGTCAAAAAGAAAGCTAGTAGTGGACTCCACATGACGCTGCCTCTCAAGAAACATCTTTCCAAGATGAAGAAGGGTAAGCACTCAAGTATATCTAAATCTAAGTCTTCATCCTCTGTCTCCACTCCTCCCATCCATTCCAGCGAGCTGGAGAAATTGGAGGAAATCTCTGTTAATTGTGGCATTCAAGAACCGATAGACCTGCTAGGTCTGCTTGAAATCCAAAATTTGATGTCTGGGGTAGTCCCATCTTCTTGAGTATCCCTCCCCTTCCAAGTTGTATCTAGCCTGTCTCTATGCGTTTAGGCTCCTGGAACGTTAGAGGTTTAAACAAACCATCCAAACGTAGATTGGTTAGAGAGTGCCTATCCTTGGCAAAAGTTAATCTGGTTGGATTGCAAGAGTCGAAATTGTCTTCTCCCAGTTCCTTCCTCCTAAAATCCCTTGGGGGTAGAAATATTTCATCTTGGATTTCCCTTGACGCCACTGATTCTAGAGGTGGAGTTCTTTTGGGGAGGGACGATGATCTTTTCTCCTGTTCTTCATCATCTATCGACATATTCTTTGTATCAGCTACTCTTACCCACAGACCCTCTAATTGGAGATTTGTAGCCACAACTATCTATGCTCCATGTGACTCGTCTGAGAGGGAAGTCTGCTGGTGGGAATTAGATAGAATTAGAGGATCCCATTCTCTCCCATGGGTGGTTTTCGGTGATTTCAACATGACTCTTAGCACAGATGAAAGAAGTGGTCGTCCTAGTTCTATTAGAGACATCAAAGTTTTTCAAAAGCTTGTTGAATCTATCAACCTCTGTGATCTTCCCCTAAGTGGGAGGAAATTCACTTGGTCTAATCATAGACCCTCCCCATCGCTTGCAAGATTAATTCACTTGGTCTAATCATAGACCCTCCCCATCGCTTGCAAGATTGGACAGATTCTTAGTCTCCATAGACTTTGAATCCAAATTTCCTCACATGGTCCAGTTCGCCTTTCCATCTGGGTGCTCTGACCACTGCCCTATCATGTTAGACACTAATTCCTCCTCTTTCCTCTCCCCTCCTTTTAGATTTGAAAAAATGTGGCTATCTCTCCCATCCTTCCCAAACTTCATAGTATCCAGTTGGAAATCTTTCACTCTAAAAAATGACAACCAAGTCCCTCTTCTTCTCAAACTCAAACTCATCAAAAAAAGAATTAAATGGTGGAAAAAAAAATCCTGTTTTGGTTCTTTATCCCAGTCCATCTCCAATCTGTCATCTCAAATTCATGCCCTTAACATCTGTGAGGAGTCTAGAAATCTTTCCCCTCAAGAGATTCAGCTTAGATCAGATATGAAAGACCAAATTCTTTCCCTGGCCAAAGCAGAAGAAATAAAATGGAAACAAAGGTCTCGTATTCAATGGTTGAAAGAAGGAGATAATAACTCTGCTTTTTTCCATAAGGTTGCTTCATATCACCGCAGAAAAAAATTTGTTCCTCACCTTCTTATCAATGATTCCATCATCTCATCAGACAGTGCCATCAAAGATTCTTTTTTCTCCTTTTTCTCCAATCTCTTTGGCCAAGCTCCAGCTTCCAGACTCTCTCCCAACTGGAGTACACTATACCCAAACGAAAACTTTGATCTATCTTCTCTTGACCTTCCCTTCTCTCCCCAAGAGATCACAGAGGCTGTTTTTGACCTCAATCCTGACAAATCCCCAAGGCCCGATGGGCTCCCCATCCTTTTCTTCCAAAGATTCTGGCCAGTTGTTCAAGCAGATGTGATTGAATTCATTCAAGGGATATATTCTCATCCCCAATGTTTAAATAACATCAATTACTCCCACATTTGTCTTATACCCAAAAAAGAGGGAGCTTCTTCTCCTAAAGACTTTCGTCCTATTAGTCTTATCAACAGTTCTTGTAAGATCTTTTCCAAAATTTTGACTAATAGACTTAAAAAAGTCCTTCACAATCTCATTGATAATTCTCAGTCTGCCTTTCAAGCAGGGAAATCATCTCTGGACTCTTTTCTCCTAGGTCATGAAATGGTTAACTTCTGTTCATCGGGGAAAAAAGAAGTATGTGCCTTTAAGGTAGACTTCTATAAGGCCTTCGACTGTGTGAACTGGTCTTTCCTTTTGTCCCTTCTCAAAGCTAGAGGCTTTGGCCCCAAATGGTGCCTCTGGATCCAATACATTCTATCCTCTTCAAAATCAGCTGTTCTAGTTAATGGTTCCCCTACAAAATTCTTCCGATGCTTTAGAGGTCTCAAACAAGGAGACCCCTTATCACCTCTACTTTTCCTTTTGGTGGCTGATGTTCTTAGTAAATTGTTGTATCGCAGTGCAGCTTTGGGGGATCTATCTGACCTAAATTTGAAAGGGCAGTTAAATTCCATTAGGTTGATACAATTTGCGGATGATACCATAATTTTCTCCAAAGCCACCCCCTCTGATATGGCCACCTTAAATGCTATTCTTCACATTTTTGCTAATATATCTGGCCTTCATGTTAATCACCAAAAATCAAATCTATTTTACCTTGGCAAAATTCCTCACAAAGGGAAAAAGCTTGCTAAGATACTTAGTTGTTCAGTCGGTTCTCTCCCATTCTCATACTTGGGACTCCCTCTCAAAAGAGGCTCTCTATCCAAAAGAGAGTGGCAACCTCTCCTTGAATCATTCACCAAGAAGCTTTCATTATGGAAAAACAAATCTCTCTCCATAGGTGGATCATTCACCAAGAAGCTTTCATTATGGAAAAACAAATCTCTCTCCATAGGTGGAAGGTTAACTCTCCTAAACTCTGTGTTATCTACTCTCCCCTTATACTACATGTCTTTTTTTAAGCTGCCTCAGTGGTTAATCAAGGCGATAGACAGAATTAGAAGAAACTTTCTTTGGAATGGAAGCCACAATCCCTCAAAATCAAATGCATTATAAACTGGGGTAAAGTCTGTAAATCCAAAGATGAAGGAGGTCTTGGGGTTCTAGACATTGCAAATTTCAACAAAGCTCTCTTATCTAAATGGCTATGGAAAATTTTTGATAGAAATTCTCACATCAGCAAAGTCTTTTTCTTTGTCTACTCCAAAGATGGGTTTAACCCCTTTGCTCATCCCATTAAGAGCACGGCTTCAAGTTTCTTCAAAGACCTATCCTCCATTCAAACAACTTTTTTCAACTTGGTTAAATGGAACATTGGTGATGGAAGAACTGGAAATTTCTGGCATGATAAATGGTCCTCGGAAAATTCCCTATGCAGCTTATTTCCAAAAGCTTTCATTTTAGCTCTCTCACAGAGCTGCTGTATCAGATCCCAAGGAAGAATGATTAACAATGCTTGGTCATGGCACCCTCTCACTAGAAGAGGTATTTCACACTCAGAAAGGTCAGATCTCAACCACCTCCTCTCCCTTCTAACATCTTCAAATATTAATATCACTTCGGAACCAGATGAACTCTGGTGGATGCTCCTACCATCGGGGACTTTCTCAGTTAAGTCCTATTACTCCTTCGTCAACTCAGGGGGCATTAAATCCAAATTTTCAAAATTGATTTGGAAATCTCCTATTCCATCCAAGGTGAAAGTGCTATTCTGGATCATCTCCAATAAGAAACTGAATACGAAAGCAAATCTGATTCACAAGGGTTGGGCAGGCGATCCGAGATGTGCTTTTTGCAAATCGGAAGTAGAAACACACGAACACATCTTCCTTAAATGTTCCTTTGCTCGTGCTATATGGTCCATCATCCTTCCCTCTGTTCCAACAATCTGCTGGCCAGAGACCATAGAGGAGCTGATAATGTTCCACAAATCTCCCAATCTATGTTCCGACATGAAAACCGTTTGGAGAATCCTGCTACCCTGTTTTTGCTGGTGGATTTGGTTCAGTAGAAATGTTCTTATTTTCAAGGATAGTCAATCTAATCCTCTTCACATTGCTTCTAATATTGGGAGATATACCATATTTTGGACAGGTGCTGCAGATGAGAGGCTTGCAAGGAGACTGCGTAGGGCTGCATCTAACATCGGACTTCAGGAGCTTGCTAACAGGATTGTCAAGGCAGATGGGGACAACCTCACACCAAGCTCCCCAACTCAGGACTCTCCATAGCTGCTGCTGGATAAGGACACCTCCCCTTATTTTGGAAATCTGTAGTTGCTTCTCTTATCAACTAGGTTGCTATGTTTTGAAAACTGTTTCTGCATCCATTACTTTGGAAAACTGCTACTGTTTGTTGTTCTAGCAGGTTGCTCTTTATCCTCTTTTGTAATTATGTATTTTGCACCAGCTACCTAAGTAGAATCGATGTGGGTACAGTTTGGTAGGTGACGACATATGTCCGCTCCTTACCTACTGCATTCTCACTGGTTTTACATCTAGTTTGTGATGCTCTTTTGTATTTGTTTTTATATTTGTTTCTAAATAATAATAGTTTTTTATGAGCAGGGCTTTTAACCCTGCTTTTTTAGCTCAAAAAAAAATAGTTAATACTTAGATGTGTGCATTAAAGTAACAATTAATACTAATGATATGTAGTTATTACTAATTCGTGCTTAGTTCGAGCCATAGATTTTTGTCCCAAACAATGTCTGTAGGCGTCAAAAAATACTTGCAGACATCCAAATACCATTCAAAACAACATGCGAGAACAATTTACTCCGTCATCAGGCCCAACACAAGCACTGGCGCGCGCCAACCTCATGCGCTGGTCGCCGGCTAAGCCGCCGACAGCATCTATAGGTGCCCGCCGCGCCTCAGCGCGACAGTACTTGTCGTCTTTGTTCGCGGCTGAAAGCGCCCGACAGCTTGTCTGTCGCGGCTTGGCGCCGCTTGCAATCTACGGGTGCGCGCCGCTATGTTAAAGCGAGTGTACTGCCCAGCCCCAGTTACGAAACAGTTATATGCATGATATCTTGAGCGGCCCACGCTGGCCCAGCATACCAGAAACAGCAAGGGTGTGCTTGACGGTGGACAATGCCAGCTTAAACACGAAAAAAGGTGCGCTTAAAAAGTCGTCTTAGGACGAGCCGCGTTTTAAGGCACGCATCAAACGCTGCTCCATATACTTGCTCTAATCTCGGCCGCCGGCAGCCTTAACACTGCCGCCGCAATAGCCGCCGGCTAGCTGTAGACTGCCCAGCGCCGACAAAGAGAAACACGCGCAGCTCATTATTTCGCCCTTCCGCTTTCACCTGCTGTGCCACTGAGAGCCCTAATAGAATACCTCCCTCAGCCAACGAATTAAAGGACAGAGAGCCATTTTGGAGCAGAAGCATACTGAGTCTTTGCGTGATTTTGAAGAAAAGAAAGAGAGCAATGTTTCTACCCTCTAGACAGCATCATTTGCGCTGAATCCTAGAGATTCTATAGCTCAGGACTGTGATCCTTTGGAAGCAACGCCGGCCACATCTTACCCACTCGATAAGATATATTCGTTTTTCAAATCTACTATCGATAAAACGACTAGGCAAGAGCCTATCCTTAACAACCTCTCGTCATCTACGGAATCGGTTGCGTCCACGCAATCTAACAGCATTCCCGCGCCACAGCGCCAAAGTCCACAAAAAGCCGAGGAGCTTGATAAACAATTTCTGTGTTATTTTCTCGAGAGTTGTATTTATCTTTTTATTTTCATTGTAATTCTTGCTAAACGCATACGATCAGTATCTTAATGGATCCATCTGCAATGTGCGAAACAACTTTCGCTGAAAACAAAAACTGCGCTGACCAACAGTCGGGAGCCAAGCGGCCTCCTCCACCTCGCCCTGCCGATGGCCGCGCTGGTGCTCGCAGCCCGCATTAGAGCATCTGTCACCGAAACGATGATCGCAATAGTGAATTCGATCAGGACCAAAATACGAGGCGAGTATATGTCACCTCGTCATCAAAATCCTCCTCACCCCGCAATTGTGCTAGGTAAGATTTCTTCTCCCAAGAAAGTTTCCCGAGTCTTCTAGTTCCATATGCCAGCACCGCCCATGCGTACGAGTTCCTGTTCCATAAGTCATTTGCAAAAAGAATCAACCTGCCCGACATCTCTGCTTGCCGAATGACCCTTCACCAGATTTCAAGGCGACTCCTTAAACCACAGGATGCGTCTCGGTATGACATAGGAGAGCTCCGCTTCCAGAGGACCAACGTCAACGCCATCTCTTGACTTTGGAAATCAATTCCCCTGTAATAGCTTCCTCTAAGCTTGCCATGTATTTGATGTAAATGGACCAGAGAAATGAAAAGGAATTGCTGACAAGAGGCTGTAAGTGGACAGGGGTGAATTTGAACGTGACAAAATCACACATGGGCCAGTATACAACACCACTTAGTAATGTAGGAGTCAGGTCTCTCTTCAACCGGGCAAAAATCTCAGGCGCAGTTTCACCTTGTAATTTTGGCAGAAACCTTGATACGGTATTAAACCATAAATGCAATAAGGGTCCTGAGACCAGCATGTGCCAAGTAAATTGAGAACCAAAAATCCTGACTCCAATTTTCTCAGAGAATGCATCAGTAGCTCTCAAATCAAACCAAATTTGTCTAACTGATACCGGTAGTTCCTCATCCTCATTGAAAGATTGAAGCACTTGAAGAAATACCCACTCACCTCGAGTTTTATCTCTAACAGCTTCTTTGACTTTCTGTACAAAATCTTCTTGGCTTTTGACATCTCGAAGTTCCACTCGCCCCATCTGCAATCCACTAGCTACTAAATGCACATGTGAACCAATGAACCCTGACACTACAACTTTCCCTTGAAGATCTAACTTTTCAATTCCCAGGCCTATGAGCTCCGTTTGGAGAGTGTGTTCTTTACAGGCGGAAGGGAGAGATTTCTCATCGGCAGACGGCGAGTTGGCCCAAGAGGCCGCGGCGACCTGAGCAATTCCGATGTTGCCGCAGTTCCGGCGAGCCTTGTTGCTGAGCTGGCGAACGAAATTAGGCGGAAACTTGAGGATGAGAGCTGAGGATCTCAATCCTCTGCTGATTCTCTTGGCTCTGTTGCCGGCCATGGCTGAAACTGTGTTGCTGGCCATGGCTGAAACGTTCGAAACTGGCAGTTTCTTGTTGGTTTTTTTCTTCTTGCTTGAGATTGGCCACGGTGGGTTCTTGAGCTTTGGCTTTTTCTTGCTTGAGATTGGCCATGGTCGTTTCTTGTGCTTTGGCTCTCTCTTGTTTGAGGATGGCCATGGCGGTTTCTTGAGCTTTGGTTTTTTCCGCCTTCTCGGGGGTGAAAGGTAAATAGAAGGAGATACTCCTCTTCTCGAAACCTCGACCAATACCTGATTTTCTGCCACAGCTTTTAGAAACTCCTCTTTAACCTTATTTGCTGGTAACTTTTCCCTAAGCGACTGCATCGCTCTTACGCTTGGAGTGGACTTCTTGGAGATCTGCATGCCTCTAAGCTCAAGACTGAACTTTTCCTTCAGAACACCCAATTGTGCTCTTGATTCACCATCTGTTGTAACCATGTTAGGCAAAAACTGTTTACTTCCTTGATTGGGGGTAGGGTTGGAAGTGCTACTGGAACCAACAAGGCTTGCATCCTGTTTCTTTTTGTTATCAGGAGTATGAGATATATCTTCTGTCTTGAGAGGGTGCTTCCTTCCAGACCTTAGCTTGACACTATCATCCAAATCGGCTTGATCTACACTAGGTGCCTTTGAAGTAGACCTCAGTGAAGAATCCATGTCCTTCAAAGTTTGTTCTCCATCTATATATTTTCCTGCAGTGTCTTGTTCCTTTTGCTGCTTCATATGTGACTTCCATTTCCTTCCTGAAGTTTATGTCTGTGCAGATGCAGAAACAGGTGGCTGAGCTTTAGCATCAACATCAGTACTCTTCGCACTTGCCTTTGACCCAGGTGGCCATCTTCCTTTGTTTCTTGCAAAATTTGAAGGATTCTGTGAGGGACTGAATCCTCGATTGGTTCCTTTGGGGATGATTCTGGCCATGATGAGCCTGAAACAAACTTAAGGGAAATGGTGATAGAAAGAATTGGGAGAATTGAGAGAGAATGAAGACAGGGGTTGAGTTGAGAAGAAGAACAGAGCTCTAATTTCATTCATATCATACTCAATTGTACAATTCCCTATTTATACAAGCTAACCTCTGAGTTGAAGTTTGCGCACGTGCACAAACAGCACACAGCCCACAACAGAAAACAAACAGAAAACAGAAACAGTTATACAGTTGTTGAGCTGGACATTTCATATAGGACCTCAGTAATTATAAGTGCTTGCAGATAGCTCCCTAGGCTTTGCGTATCAGGCCACTTTGTGTATCAGTCCCCAGCTTCTCAAGCCATCAGTCTTCAAGCTTTCGAGGTCTTTGGCGCAATTGACAGGGTTGTTCATCAGGTCCTGACAGTTTACTAAAGACAATATAAGGTACGTATCAAGGTCAAATGTAGGAAACCTTACGGTCTCTAACAAGCCTCTAGCTAGCTCAAAACTGATTACACCACCAAAAATATGATGATACTGGCAAACTTTGGAAATCAATTCCCCTGTAACAGCTTCCTCTAAGCTTGCCATGTATTTGATGTAAATGGACCAGAGAAATGAAAAGGAATTGCTGACAAGAGGCTGTAAGTGGACAGGGGTGAATTTGAACGTGACAAAATCACACATGGGCCAGTATACAACACCACTTAGTAATGTAGGAGTCAGGTCTCTCTTCAACCGGGCAAAAATCTCAGGCGCAGTTTCACCTTGTAATTTTGGCAGAAACCTTGATACGGTATTAAACCATAAATGCAATAAGGGTCCTGAGACCAGCATGTGCCAAGTAAATTGAGAACCAAAAATCCTGACTCCAATTTTCTCAGAGAATGCATCAGTAGCTCTCAAATCAAACCAAATTTGTCTAACTGATACCGGTAGTTCCTCATCCTCATTGAAAGATTGAAGCACTTGAAGAAATACCCACTCACCTCGAGTTTTATCTCTAACAGCTTCTTTGACTTTCTGTACAAAATCTTCTTGGCTTTTGACATCTCGAAGTTCCACTCGCCCCATCTGCAATCCACTAGCTACTAAATGCACATGTGAACCAATGAACCCTGACACTACAACTTTCCCTTGAAGATCTAACTTTTCAATTCCCAGGCCTAT